ATACTAGCAAAGTATAAAAATACCAGAAATACATTTTTAGAAAAAATAAAAATAAAGAAAATAACCAGAAATGCATTTTCCTAATAAAATGACCAGCAATGCAAAAACTAAAAAAAAGTATAAAAATACATTTTTATAAAAAAAAATTACTAACACTTTTTTATCATTTTCAAACTATATATCTAAAAAAAAAAAAAAAAAATGTTTACCCTGAAAGTATGACATATGTGTAAATGAAGTCATAAAATTGCATACAAAATATTTAAATTTTGGCATTAAATAGCCCATAGAGGTGTTGATATGCTGCTGAACAAAATCAACCAAAGCAAACAAAGTGATGAGAATTTTATGCTTCTTTTGTAAAAGAACAATAAAAGTAAATATTAATTTTGCTCATGTGTTTAATTAATGTATTTAATATAATAAGCAGAAAATGTAGTTTGTTTAAATCTTGGCTGTCTACTCTGAGCAAGAATTAGTTAATCATTTTATCAGTATGAGTAATGGCCTTCAGCAGAAAAGGCCATGTTGCTTTCTCTAAAAAAGATTTGCCTAATGTTTAGATGGCCTTTTTCTTGACCCTTTCATTTTATCAACATGGTTATCTGTATAAGAACTGACATCTTTATCCAAAAAGGCATGCTGTTTACTTAGTGGTATTTAAAAAAAAAATTTAAGTGTTTTTTTTTTTGTTTTTTTTTTCTGTTACATGAAATAGGCAGTCAGTGGAATAAAAGGATTTTTATAAGTGATAATGAATTAATCCACCTTAAATAAAACACTTTAATTTGCAAATTAACCAGCTTAATTGAGATATAAAATATCACACATTAAGTGCTGGTGTTAATATAGTCATGATTGTAATAAAAAATTGAGGTGCCAAGTTCAAATTCCAGTTAAGTTTGTTACATACCCAAAAATACCTTTGGAAAGTGTATGAATCCATCTCTGGGTTAACTAGCAATGCAGGTGTTTTTTTTGTTTTTTTTTTTTTTTTTTTTTTTTTTTTTTTTTTTTTTTTTTTTTAAAAAAAAAACCTTGTTTAGGAATCAGTTTCATAGTACAACTCTGAATTCAAAACCTGTTGGGCATGGGCTAGCAACTTCATCTTGTACAAACCTACATGTTATGGGAGCCACAGCAGCAGTGCCTAGTGTTGAGAGATGTCGCTCTATACTCCTAGTGCTGTCAATATGACTTGTGAGAGTGTAAATTTCCACTTGTGAATGTGTAGCTGTATTCCATTTGGAGAAGTCTGTTTTATAATCTGAAACACAATGTGACTTGATCTATTTATTGGTAATGCAGCCTGATATTCTCCTGTTACAGTTTGCAGGTGGCATTGTATTAACTTTTCTTATTTTTACTTTTTCATTTATTTTTACTCATGATTTTCAGAAGAAAAATTCTTTCTTGCATGTGGTAATAGTTAATGGTATAGATAAAAATCCTACATTCAGTTCCCAAACTATTTACCCCTGTTTTATAGTAAGTCCGATATGTTTGACAAAGTAGAACTGGCAGAAGTTCTCAAAAATAACCTTCAATCTGTTAACTGAGGCAAGAAATGGCGTGTAAATTTTAACATCTCTATAACGAAACTATCTTGTCATAGAGATCCATTTTTACCTTCTATCAGTATGGCTGATGCTAACCTCCAGGAGAGCATCTCATTGCACCTTCTTGGTCACATATTTTCTACTGACATGAAGTGGAAAGATTATATTGAATCAATTGCTAGATCTGCTCTTGGTTCACTTTGTTGTGCCAGATAATTTTTCTTGCCAGAATCCATTTTGAATATATATAAATCTACCATTCACCTGTGACTTGAATATTGTTGCCACCTCTGGTCTGGATCTCCTGCAATAAATCTTGATATTCTTTATAAAACCTAACCAGTTTGTAATTCTAATGGTCATGACCTGGCATCTTGACTTCAGTTACTTACTCACTGCTTTTCTCTGTCTTTTCTATAAATATTTTTATGTCAATTGTTCTAATAAGCTCGCCTTCTTGGTATCTTGACTGCATGAATTTAAGCATACTACTAGATTGGCAACTAGGTTTCATTGTTTTACTGTTGAAATAACTATATGTAACTGAAACTTCTATTCTAATAGTTTTTTTTTTCTTATACTTTTTAACTGTGGGAGTCTCTTCTGGTCCCTTGCTTCCTGGGTACCTATGATCTTCAAAAATTTAAATGCAATATCAGTTGCCATCTTCTGTCTTCCTGATACCTGTTCCTTCATTCTTTTCTCCTTACTAAAATCTTCTCATTCTCTTTCACTCCAAGTAACACCTTTGTGTTACTTGTGGCATTGCTTTGGGTGAAATGATTTAAAAAAAAAAAAAAAAAAAAGGTGGTGGGGGAGAGATCATTCATGCAGATACAATGAATGCAATTGGAAAATTACTTGGGTATTGTCCTCGCTATATATTTTTAATGGTACATGTAGACTAGTCTCACACACACACATATATATATATATATATATATATATATATATATATATATATATAAGTATAAGTTGTAGCCTCTGTTTGTTTCTTATCAAACTCCTCCTAGGCTTTTGAAGATAGACCCCCATAACCATATATATTCTGAAACTATATTACCCAGGGTACTTGGATAAGTGTATTTCATTTTGATCAAAAAGGGTCCCCAGAGTGCACAAATCTCCCACTGAAAAATTTTTTTCCCCCTTTGATATAAATTAAATTTAAATTTGAACACGGGAATGATTCCTATCCAAACTCTAGAAAGAGAAATTCCGAAGATGGAGGTTACCTTGACAAGATCATTGAGTAATATTGAAAGGTGCCGGTAATTTGGCTAGTATCTAATAAGGTGCCTGGTCATTTTAATAAGTAAAAGGGTATTTTACTAAGGCTAATTTTTTTTTTTTTTTTTTTTTTTTTTTTATATCTCTTCTTGACTTCCCATTTTTACTGAATATTAATTTGGTTGTCAACTGCATCATTGCAAATGCGCTTTGTCTATGTATTTATACCATAACTTATTACTTGAATTTACTAAGCTTAAAAATTTTCTGCATCAGGATGTTTTAAATGAACACTAATCTAAATAATAATTTGCAACAAAGTGTTAATTATAGCTGATCCATAACATCCAGCATGAATTAAATTACTAAGAACTTTACATCCAATAATCACATATTGAATATAAATGTAAAATTATAAAAAAAAATTCAGATCAAAAATTGTACTTTCTTTTTCCAGATATTTTTTTTTCTTTTTCAATCTTTGTATTTTTCAAAAAATATTTAGATTTTTTTTTTTTTTTTGTAAGTTGATATTACCACAAGTTTTCAAGAAAGTTTCTCATTCATGTTGTATTTATGTAAATATGACAGAATGTCTGGTATTAATCCCTGGTACACTAGGGAAACAAAACTGAGGGCTTCTGTACTTGCTAGCTTCATTAGTACATTCTTGAATTTTATTTTGGTAGCATATTGAAAAATGAAACTTCTCAAAGTTTGAAAAATAAAAAAACCTTTTGTATAAACACACATCATATACAGGGTGACTGAAAAGTAACTCCCTATTTTATATATGATGAACTCTCCCATCTTGTAAAAATTATAGCTAGATGGGAAAGTCCATCATACATAAAATAGGGAGTTACTTTTCAATCACACTGTAGATTGCATTTTACAAGTTTACTAAGTTTTAATTTGGGTCATGTTGCTTTGTCTGTAGATTTTAATTTTTAAAAAAGTCCATTTTTTTCTGTTCTTCAGTTAATACTTTCTTTTATTGTTTTCTTTAAGATTTCTTGTTTCTGACTAATCAAGATTTTTATTTTAGCAGTTTTTATGAGTTCCTGTTTAGGGTCCTTGCCAACTTGAATTATTTGTGTGCCAAAGAAGGCTTTGCACTCAGAAAACAGAGCTCTTAAAAACTTTACAAGATTGCTTACTAGAATCATTTGCTTGAATTCTTTTAATATTGAACTTTTTCTCAAACTATAAGATTTTTTGTTAATAATTGTGAGTTTGCTGTATTGTGCTTACTGCTGAGGATAACATGGACTGAACATGTGAGCGACAATGAAGTTTTGCAGAAAATGGAAACAAAAAGGAAACTTATACTTAACATCAGGAAGAAACAGTTGAGGTTTCTACAGCACATAACGAGGAAGAAGGGCTTGGAAAATCTGATACTCACAGGACAGATTGAAGGCAAGAGACAGTGGAAAACAGTGCATGACATACTTAGTGAGCTTGAGTAAATGGATGGCAGAACAGGGTTTAGGAGAAATAAGACAAAATTTATTAAGAGCTATAAGGGACAGAAAGTTGTAGAGAGCCATGATCGCCTACATCCTAAGGGGACACTGCATATAAAGTACACAATTAACAATGTATGGTTACTGTCAATTTCTCGCCTTAAGTGATCATCAACAATAAAAAATATGCAAATAGCACAACACTCTCAAAACATATAGAACTTCAAAAACACCAAAATAACATAAAAATAAAAAATTAAAAAAAGAAAACATAACCAGCTTATAGGAACACATTAAAATGATTTGTGACATTACGCTAGCATAGCTATCAACAGCTTTTGAACAGTTTTGTCTAACCAATTTCAGTTGACAAGTGGTCAACCTGTGGTGTTGTCTCCAGGCATTTTCCAACACTGCTGCTTATTAGGATTCTCTCCCCAGACTGATAACATCAAGGACTTATCTCTTGGTACATGGCCAAATGGTTTGAACATCTGTTTTTCAACCATGAAATCCTGGTTCAAATCTTACTAACACACAAAGGGCTATAAGGTTCTTGATACAACCAAAAATGAATAATAATAATAATAAAGTGTATATCTAAAAAAAAAAAAAAAAATCTCCTAATCAATATTTACTAAATTTAAAATGTGTATTTACTTACAGATTTTTTTTTTTTTAAATTCTCTTGCATAGACACTTATATCATGATTCGTATTACATTATCAAAAGGCTTTAATACATTGAAACACCAGTTCCCATATGATCACCAATGTTAAGCAACTTTGAGCTTGGTTGGTATCTAGATGGGTGACTGTTTGGGAATACCAGGTGCTCTAAGCTTGGATATGTGGTTGGTGTAATAGATAATGGCTCAGGATTGGAAATTGGAAAGTTGAATTCCAATTTCAATTGGGTTCATTATACTCACTTGCATGCAAATATCTTTGGGAAAAGTGTGAATCCACCTATTCTCTCCCCAGATATGGGGTAATTAGTAATACTTGTATCACTAAACCATTATCTTACAATCTAAAAATATTTTCTGGCTTTAGATAACCTGCATAGGATTTATAATTCATAAAAAAAAAAACAATCAATAAAAATTGGAGATTGTTGACTATGTGAAATTTGATTTCTTTGTTTTTTGTCATTTTTATTTTTTATTTATTTATTTTTAAAATATTAGTCCATCTATGTCATTTCCAAAGTATAGACGTTTTTGTTAAACATATTGTGTGAATGGTATAAAGGAGACTATTTGAAGGTGGGGCAAAAGAGTAGGTACTAAGAAATCAATGTTACAGCATTATAAAAACAAATCTGACTTAAACTACTTGTACACTTTACAAGACATTTGTCATGATCAATGTAATATAGTAGTTGTATTTAAAGATTTATATAGTGAATCAAAGCTTTATTTAATACTGGTATTATATTTTTGGTAATATTTTTAAATGGACACTTATTAGGTAGGAAAACAAACAAGTGATTAATTTTAGTATATACTAAGCCACCACACAGAGATCACTAAAATTTATCAAAATGAAATTGAATTTTGACAAATTTTTTGAAAAATGAGTTGATTTTCATCAATTTGAATGTTAATATAGTTTGGAATTTTTTTTTTTTTTTTTTAAATTTTAAGAATGTTAAAATTTAATGATATAATTGCATTTTGTAGGTTATTTTTAAACTGGAAAATTATTTACAATTTTAGCATAAACTATGAATATGATCTTCAATAATTTTCAACTATTGATGGTTTTGATGAAGACACCCTTTTGTGTTTATATGCAAATATTAGTTGGTATTTTCTTTTTTTTAATGTACTGTCCCTTTAGAATGTTGTAGATGATGAGTTTCCACAACTTCCTCTCCTTTGTAGCTCTTAGCAATGTTTTTTTTTATTATCCTTACCACTTCCTGATCTGCCATCTATTTACACAAGCACACTAGACAAGTTACTTGTTTGCTCTTGTCTTCAATATGTCCTGTGAGTGTCAAATTCTCCTAACTCTCTTTCCTCATTGTTTCCCCAAAATTTCGACTGTCTTTCTGATTCTAAGTATAATTGTCCTTTTTGTTTTCATTTTCCTTAAAATTTCCTCCATACTTCAAGTTTCCGTTTCATTTGTGAAGAACTTATCCAGCATTCACTGCCCTATCAGAGGATCGATATTACATAAAAGTTTGGCATTCTTTTCTTGGTTTCTAACAAAATTTTCCTTTTTAACACTTTTTGGAAGGCATTTCGTATTATTCCAATGTGCCTTTGGATTTCGGCGTCAGTTTCCATCATCTGTTTAAAACACTTTTCAGATAGTTAAATTTTTGTACTTGCTTGATTTTTAACATCTCAGATTGTTGCTCTTGCTGACAATTGTACATTTTGTCTTACTTTTCTTCTTTTTTTTTTAACTTCTTGCTTTCCTTAACTAACTTGCCAGGAGTTCCTTTGTGTGTCTGCCATCAACATTATAATCTGTGTGCTTGCTCAATTCATTTTCTATCTGTATGCAGGTATTTTGCTCCCAGTATATATTCTGGATTATTCTAATTTTTCCCAAATAAAGTTTTTGAACAAATTAGCCCTTTCTTCCTGCTTTCTAGGAGTTCCTGCAGTTTTCTTTCTGTGTCTTCTATTAACACAGTGTCATCTGCATCTCTTGTTATAAAGATTAGCTCACCAATAATAAATTCTTGTAGGATTTGTAGTTCTTTTAGGATGACTTCCTTGTGTAGGTGGATAAACATAGTAAGAAAACAAATCCTTGTCATATGCCCCTTTCTATTTTTGTGTGCTTACTCATTTTCTATCTGTATGTAAGTGGTTTGCTTCCAATAAATATTCCAGATTGTTCTATCATCTTCCCCAAATACATCGTTTTCCTAACAGTTCAAATATATATTTGTGTTGTACCTTATCAAATGCTTTTGTGTAATCCATGAAGCATAGGTATATATCCTTCTCTGCATTATTGTTTTATCAGTTACAAAACCAAGAACAATGTGAACTTTGTTCTAGTTTGACAGTTTTCTTATGTAATAAATTTACTGTTTGAGATAAAATCTATGACCTTTGGGCTATTGTTACCACTACTCAACTTGTAAATCATATGAAAACTTGGAATTTTAAAATACAAGGTATCCAAAAAAATTGATGTTTAAAATGTAAATACCTGAGTAACTACATGTCCCAGGCATATGAAATTAAATAGGCTTCATGTTGAACAATAAAGGATTTATTTATCAAAATTTGAGAAAGTTATTCAAAGGGATGTAGATTTTATAACTGTAGATTTTTATTCACAAAGCTTCAATATGACACAACACATGTCAAGTTGATAGTCCAACTCCTGCCAAACATGCTGTAGCATGACTTGCATAACATTCTCCAGCACCTTTGAATTTTTTGTGTCATTTCCAATTCTCTTTCCAGTTGGTACATTTTTCTCAAATCTTCTCTGCACACTCTTGTTTGTGTTTGAGCATATTCTAACACAAAATGTCTTCATTTATAGTCAGTCATTATTCACCTTGAAAAAAAATAAAAATTCAACTTAGTTTTTATGCATTTTGTTAAAATTTGAGATCATTTTGAGTGACAATTGGCTGTTATTAGACTACAAAATGATGTAAAATATATTGTGAATTTTAAGATGTTGAAAACTATCACCATACATTGATACTCTTCAAGAAAGTATTTGAATTTTGATTTTACATTACAAAAATCATTTTAATATTACATGGTGAAGGCAGCAAAAGTTGAAATTTTTAATGTTGTACAAAAAAAAAACTATATGTAGTTCCAGACATATTTGTCTTCCTAAAGAAGCACATTAAATGGCTCCTATTCAACCTTAGATAAATATCTAAGCAATTGGCCTGCTGTTTATTGGAAGTAAATGCTTTTCAGTTAAGATGGTTGGACAGACAGATGTTTAGAAGTTTTAAATGACATTCTATTGACAGGTATGCATAAATAGACTATTTTTACACTTACAAAACTGAACAATGAAAGTGTTAGTAATTTGCACTGCTTATGTCCCAAGTAGATTGGAACAAGGTATTTTAGTCATTAAAGCCAACTTGGTTGTTTGAAGAGTACAAGGGGGTGCAGGGAAAGTTCTCAGCCTGACCCACTTCCCAAAATCAGTATTCTGATGTTTGGTCATTGAAATACTGATTTTTTTTTGGGAAGTAGGTCAGGTTGAAAACTTACCTCTTAAAAGGTCGTGGCTTTAAGGAAGATATTTTAAGCTTTGCGCTGTAAACTTTTATAAGTAAACTGTCAGGTTTGTGTGTGCGTCTGTGTGTGTGCATGATATTTAATGTGTCTAAGCCAAAAACAAAAAAAAAATATAATATTGAGGCTTTTTTTTTTTTTTTTTTTTTTTTTTGGTGTGGTCTTGCATCCATTAATTATTACATAAGACATCACCATGAACTATTTTCTAAGCTTTCTAAAGATGAGGTTGTAACCAATGGAATCTTGCTTATCACATGGTTATTGAAAATGACTCAGAAAATTAAAAGTATTTGAACAAAATAGCAGAACCAGCATGAACTTCAGAAAGTTTATCTACAATTTTGGTCCCAGTATGCAACAACTTTTTGGGAAAAATACAATAAAAATTAAACGGATCTTGTCAGTTGAATTTAATCAAACGTGTATGTATGTACACACACACACACACACACACACACATATATATACACACACACACAGATACATTTTATCACTAAAGATAACATTTAAAGTAATTATATGAGAGAGAATTAATACAAGCAAAAGGTTTATCACTTAACTGATTGATGTTAAAAGAGTAGTGTTTATAACAAGTTAGTCTAAATTAATATCGGCATCTTCAAGTAAATCCATATCTGCTTACTTATTGAAAAGTGAGCAATTATCAGGTTTAAAAAAAAAAACAAATTGTTAATGAATTATTTTTAGAATAAGTTCTGAGAAAATTAATTCAAATTTTCTTTCATAAATTCTAATTTCAGTGTCTATAACATTCTTGGATTTTTATTTTTTTTAATAATCCATAAAAAAAAAATTAGAAGTGAGATTTGTAGACAGCTTAATATTTTTTGACTGTCTTTAGTTTTAAATTCAATATTTTTTTTTCTTTCACCACTTCAAACAATTTTTGATTCTTGAATTAAAATATTCAAGTTGGTACAAAAAAAAGTTAATTTTGCTGACTAAGATTATTTTATTCTAGATAAATTTAAAAAAATAGTCTATTTAGAGTGAAGAAAAAAATTACAAAGCAATTTAACTCCCTCTTCTAAATTTTTAAATCTTTAATCCAGATTATGGAAAGTTTTAAACTAAACCTGCAAACATTTATAATTACATAAATCTATATTCATCCTGCCAATAACATTTTTGCAAACTTTGTCTTCTGGTTACATTCAATAATTTCTAAATCCTATTTCTAGTGTTTCTCTTCTTGTGCGAACAAGGTTATTGCTATTTCTTAAGTAATTCTATTGATTATACTTGGATGTTTTATGGTTGCATTTTGAGGCAAGTCTCTCAGCAAAAAAATCTTTGGGAAGATTCTTCAACCTACTAAGCCATATTGACTGTTCTTTTTACAGTCTCATTGTTCTCATTGGGGATTTGGATAATGTACCCCCTTCCGTCTTGGTTGTAGTTTTGTAATAAGCAACAAATAAGCAAGCTTGTTTACTAAGTATTGATTTGTTAATCATTTCAAAAATCATTATTCTGATTTTGCTCAATAATAATAATAAAAAATATATGAATATGTACAGTTAAGCCCAAATAACATTTGTCACTATGTGACCCTGAGATATG